TTTGAATAGCAGGGTCAGGCTGACACCACCTTGAGTGGGGGCTGGCATGGGATGCTATGTAAAGCAGTCCCAAACCACTTCTTGTAGGGCTGAGCTGGAAAAACTTGGTTTTCTCCCAAATTCCCCTGGCTCAAAACCAGCTCCACAAGACCCTGGGACTCATGAGTGCAGGTGGCTCTGGTCAGTGACTCTCTCAGAACCCCCTGGGTGGGGACTTGGTGCTTCCCTCCTCTTCCTGATAATGGGGCCGGCTGGCACCAGCCCCGTGCTGGCCATGGAATCCTTACTCTGCCCACAACAAATTCAGAGGCTGGGGGGAGGCAGATGGTGTGACTTTAGGCTCAAGGCTTCAAGAGCACAGGGCCATCCACAGAGGCAAAGGTCCCTACTGCTCCAGGGGAAAGAAAGCAAGCCTCCAGGAGGAGGCTCATGCTGGGTGTTGAAGGATGAATAAGAGTCCATTGGGCATTTCAGGCAAAGGGAATAGCCTGTGGAAAGGCACAGATGTGATAGCTGGGGAGTTCCAGAATGGCTCTATGCTTCCATGTGCCTGCCTAAGGGTTCAGCCTGGGGGCCCGCAGATTCCCTCTGGATCTGTGCTGGATGTTCTGCTAGATGGGAATTTCCGGGCTATGGTGAGGCCTTGCCCTCTACTTTCTTAGCCCCATCTACCCAGGCAGCCCGCCAGGCCGCAGTGTGGGCTTCCCTCCTCCAGCCCCTGCCCCACCCCCATCTGTGCATCCACCACCCTCCTACCAACCCATGCACACTTCTCCACCCCCACTGGCTCTGCCACTCCCTGGCCATGTGACCTTGGGCCAGTTTCCCCTTCTGCAGCCTAGGGACATTGATGAGATTCCCAGGGGTCCCCATGACAGTTGGCTGTCCCGGTGCACGGGGAGCCACAGGTGAGGCTGGAGGAAGCTTCCGAGAGGGGAAGAGCACACTTCAGAGTCAGACGGTCTTCCAAGCAGCAGTCTCCTCAACTGGACAGCAGGGTGGGGCCACCTAGCGGGGGGCTTCGAGCATCAGTTCCGCCTGGCAGCACACACAGCCACACCCTGGCACCCCGACCTGAAACCGCTCTTCTCCCATGAAGGCCTCAGATCTGTCTCCCGGAGTCACAGGTGAGGGTAAAGGTAAGCACTCAGCCCCGGGAAGGTGGGTGGAAGGCACAGCCCACAATTCTTTTCATTCCAGCTCCACACTTTCTAAATTTAGCTCCCTTATTTTAAGATTGCAAATGATGAACTCCCCAACACCTTGCAGAAGATCAGAGTGAGCCTTTAAGAAGTCTCTTTGGAAGATAGCATTAGGGAAAAGAGAGCAATAAAGGCACAGAGTATGCCTGCAATTCTTCCCAATAAAAGAACCTACAAAAGGGGGGGGTGCTGGCACCTGCGGGGCCCGGAGTTGAGGAATCAAGTCCACAGAGGACAGCACCAAGAAGCAGCCAGAGGGGGGATCCCTGGATGTGCCCCTGCCCCGGGAGGATCAGAGCTTTGGTTGGCTCAAGGTGACCTGCGTGGAAAAGAAACAGACTTTGGACAGAGACTTGGATGGTGTTTGCCCCGAGTGGAGCTGAGAAGGTAGCAATCCGCAAGCATTTTCCTCTGCATCTTCTCCCCTGCTTGTTCCCACAGGCCCACTCTATATAGATGAGGAAGCAGGCTCAGAGAAGCGAAGCACCTGCCAACATCCCAACCAAGTGAGTGATGGGCTTGGGGCCTGAGCCGGCCTCCCAGCTCCAAACCCCACAGGGTTGCAGGCAGCCGGGGTGTGTGCTCAGCAGAGCAGAGGGGGTGGGCGGCTGCTGGACAGGGAGGTCATCCTCTGGCCACACCCAGCACTCACAGCAAAGCCTGACTGAATATAGTCTGTCAACAGTGCTCATATTAAAAAAGTGGTAATAGGGGCACCTGGGGGGCACAGTCAGTTAAGTGTCCGACTCTTGGTTTCAGCTCAGGTCGGGATCTCAGGGTCGTGGGATCGAGCCCCGCATCAGGCTCCATGCTCACCACAGAGTCTGCTTCAGATTCTCTCCCTCTCCCTCTGCCCCTCCCGCTTGTGCTCTCTCTCTAATAAATAAATCTTAAAAAAAAAAAAAAGTGGTAATAATAACAGCTCACAGTGGGGAAAGCAATCAGAAAACCATGTGCTGAAATTCTCACTCAGAAGATACTCCACACAAGAAAGGCAGAAAGCCACCCAGTCAGGCTGCGCTAGACAGCAGGACATCGGGACTCTAGGATCTGGGGCTGGACGGTGGCAAGTGGGGATGGGACAGGCAGATGAGAGGTGCCCTGGGAAAGCCAGGACCCCTGCACCGCAAGCAAGGGCAGCCCTTCCTCCTGGCCTGTGTCCGGATTCATTCACACATCACTACTCATTCATCCGACAAGTGTGTGCCGAGGGCCTGTTCAGGCTGGATCTAGGGAGACACACCCTTATGAAAACACTTGTAATGGGTCCCACCACTCTCCCCTCCAGCTATGTAGTGAGAGCTATGCCTGGCCAAGGACTCCTGGTCCGGAGTGGGAGTGCACCAGAAGCTAGTCGATCAGAGTCCTTCCCCGAGACTTGTCAACCCTTGGAACAGAGGAAGGAGGCAGCCCCTCTCTGGGGGCTTCTGCCATGAGAGTGAACCAGGCTCAGGCCGAGGCCCAAAAGACGAGAGAGGGTCTCATCCATCCTTGGCCTGCCATGATGAGGCCTGAGAATGGGGCCAAAATGCACTGTCTGGTCTAAACTGGCTCAGCTCCTGCGTCAACTGGTGGTGGGAATATTACTAATACTCCCAGCTGCTGTTTCCTGAGTGCCTACTGTATACAGGTCCTGCCAAGAGCTGTACAGACCCAACCTCATTAATCCTCACAAGCTGGGTATTACCAATTCTTATTTCATAGAAGGGGAAACCGAGGCACTGGGTGGCTCAGCACTTGTCACACAATGAAAGGTGACGGCAGGGTTTAAGTTTGTCTATCTGACCCCAGAGCCTGTGTCCTGCCGATGGACCACACATGCAGTTATTCATCAACCGCCTACTGTGGGCCAGGGGCCAGGCATACAGCAGGGAACAGACACCTGGAATCCTGGGAAGCTCACACTCCATGCACACACCTGTGGCAGAGCTCAGCATTTTAGGCAGAGCTCAGCATTTTAGGTAAAAAGACCGAGAATGACAGGAGCGTGTTAGGCACAGAGATCAGGGGAGGCTCCCTGAAGGTCTATCTGCACATCCCATGAGACAGGCAGGGAGCCAGGGGGCACTGGGGGAAATCACGACCCAGTGCAGGGGACGGCAGGAGCAAAGGCCCTGAGGCACCATGCCATGGGAGCAAGGTGGGAGGTGAGGAAGGGGGGGGAGCCATTAGCCTATCAGGGATACGGGTGATATGGGAAGGCTCCATTTCACAGAGAAAGTGACCTGAGAGCAGGCTCCTAAGATCACTGAGCTTCCCACACAGAGCAGGGGAACTCATTTAGAGGGTGGGGGGTGAGAAAGAGTGTGGGCAAGAGGCTCAGCAGGGCAGCCCCGTGAGGGGTGAGGGAGGAGTGCCCATCACCTGCACCACGTTCCGAATCTGCTCCTTGGCCGCTCTGCCGGGGGCAGTGCCTCATGGGGGTCTCCACCTCCACAGGGGACCAGGCCCTCGGAGCATGGGATGTGATTCTCTTTCTTTTCACCAAATCTGCCATTCTTGAGACTAAAAAGAGAAAGTGCTCCCAACCTGAGCTCCGCCAACACCCAGCCTGGCAGCAGACAGAGTCACTGGGACCCTGTGTCCTGCATGAGCCTGGGGGTTCACATCTCTCACCAGCCTGAAGAGCACGTGCTCCCCCACCCCACCCACGTGCTCAGCTCCAGTCTCCCCACCCCAGTTCAGGCACAGCAGGGGCTGTATCCACTCAACACCCACTGCCTGCCAGGCTCCGCACTGATGGTGGGGCGGGGTGTGGGGGCAGGGATGAAGGCTAGAAAAGGAGTAGGCCCTTAGGATAAGCCCCACCTCAGGGCCTTTGCACTGCCCTTCCCTCTGCCCGGAACGCCTGACCCATGAATCCCTGAGTAAGTCAGACATACTGAAATAAACGCATTTACGCACCAACCCTCTGCAAGCTCCAGATGCCCTTCCCAGGAATGGAACCCCTGGCGTGCCGACACCTCCCACAGAGTCGACCTCCTTGGAGGCACACAGCAAGCCCGCAGGCTGACGGTCCTGACACCGCCTCACAAATGGGGAGACTGAGGCTCAGAGGAGAGATGACTCACGAGGTCTCAGCTGTGCTGACCGCAGAGCTGGCCTAAAACCCAGGTTCTGGAGAGGCAAAGCTGGGCACCCCGTGGCTCCCATTCCCATGGCTCCCCTGCTCATAGGCCTCCTCCTTGGGTCCTCTGCGCTTCCTCACTGACTCCCTTGCTGGGGATGCCCTCCTCACCAACTCACGGTCTGCCTCCACCAGGAAGCCTTCCAAGGCTACACGGACACCCCTGCCCTGAGCCGTGGTACCTGCAGTTCCTCACCTAAGTGGATCCTTGGGCTCTTGGGGTGGCCCCTCAATTATGGTCCTGGTGAGACTTAGTGCTAGAGCTCACCTACCTGCCCAGACCCCGGGGGTGCTGGGTCTTCCTGCCAGTCTAACCCCTCAGGGCTCCTCAGGAGCCTTCTGCACATCGCTTCTTCACTGGGACAGTGTGCATACCCTACAGGCAGTGGGACTCCCTGGGCCATGCTTGGTGGGGAAAGGGAGGCAGCCTGGGCCCTACGACACTGGTGGGGGCTGCCATGCTCCCACATGGAGTTCCTGAGGGCAGCTCTCAGACCCAGAGCCCCCACAGGCCCCTCATGGCCCCGGGAGTCAGGTCCATCAGCAGGATCAGCAGAGGGGGGCTGCCCCATCTCAAGCTCCCACTGGTCTGTCTCGGAGCCCCGGAAGGCCTGGGAGGGGGCAGGTGCAAGGAAGCTGCCAACACATATGTGTCGCTAAAATAACCTAAGAAATAGCAAAACACTCATGTTTATTGAGCACCACCAACAACCTGCCAGGCACTTCCGCTAATGCGGTCCTCACAACCCTGAGGCAAACAGATCTCTGTCCCCATTTTAGAGATGTGGAAACTGAGGCTCAGAGTGTGGTGGAGGTAGCCTCCACCCAGCTTTGATCAGAGGCAACCTCAGTGCTTCCTCACACCCACCCACCCCAAGGAGGAATGGGAGCCCAGGGCCGGCCGGCATCCGGAGGCTCTGAACGAGGAGGCTCAGTGCCAGATCTTAATGTCACCCTCCCAGGAGCAGGTGGCGAGGACAGAGGGCAGCACAGGGTGGAAGGTGGTGCCCACGCAAGCCTGGGCATGCCCTTGCAGCGTGCGCGCCCGGCTGGCAGTGCGGAAGCTGTACAGCAGGACCCGGCCGTCGGCACTGCCCGTCACCAGCAGGTCACCGTCTGGGGAGCACTCGCAGCCCACCGAGTAGCCTTCTACCTGCAGAGGGCAACACAGAGGGTGAGCAGGCCACACAACAGCAGCTCCTCCAGGCAGCCCGTGAGGGGGGCTATTACACCCATCCTACAGAGGAGCAGCCTGAGGCTCAGGGCTAGCCACCCAGCATCCCCAAAGCCAAGGCCCAAGCTCCCCCCATAAGCCTGGGGTCCCAGCATGGATCCTGTTTCATGAAGCCAGTTTAGTGGAATGCAGCTGGAACAGCTTTTGCATAGCTGACTGTGTCTGGCCTCACCAACAGCCACTGAGTCCCTGGCCCCTTCTGCCCCAGTGAGGCAGGCCTCAGTGGGGAAAGGGGACAGATGCAGAAATGGCCCCCACCCCTGTTCTGTCCTGTCTTCCCTCCGCCACCCCCATGACCTGTCCATGTGAGCCATTAAGTCAGGGAAAACCTTTCCTGCCCAGCACCTGAGGCCTGGAGATAGAACCAGATGTGGCCAAGGGCCGTCAGTGAACACCAGGCCACATGGTATGTGGTCACCTGGGAAACAGAAAACGGAATCTACCCAGAAAGAGGGTCTGTGCACTCTGGGGCCCCAAGTCCACTGCTGATGTTGTCTGGCAGGCGGCTCTGGGGCCAGGGCTCCACTCTTGACCTGGGGGACAGGAACACAGTACCTTGTGCCCTTCGTAGCGCCGCCTCCTGCTCATCCGGTAGGGCCACACAGCGGAAAAGAGAGCCAGGTAGTTGCCATTGGTCTGCGCCAGGAACACAGGCTCCCGGGGGTGCAAGGTGAGACTGGGGCAGGTGTATCTCTCCTGAGAAACAGTGAGGCCACAGAGAGGGTGGAAAAAGCTCCCAACTGGGCCTCTGCCTCCAATAAACATGCCACCCAGCACTCTACTCCTGGATCCTTGTGTCCAACCCCCAAACCTGGGCTTAGGGGTCTGTTTCCCAGGCCTGCTATAACAAAATGCCACAGACTTCATGGCTTAAAACTACAAACATTTACTCTCTTAGAGTCCTGGAGGTCAGAAGTCTGACACGGGTCTCACTGGGCTAAAATCAAAAGTGTCAGCAGAGCCGTGTTCCTTCCGGAGGTTCTGAGGGTAATCTGTTTTCTTGCCCTTCCTAATATCCCTTGGTTCATGGCCCTAGTGGTGGACTGAAAAATGATCCCCCAAACTACATCTATGTCCTAATTCCTGGGACCTGTCAATGTCACCTTATATGGCAAAAATGTGGAGGGGGTGTCTTTGCAGATGTAATTAAGTTAAGCTTCTTGAGGTGGGGATATTATCCCCTATTACTGCCCTAAATGCAATCATATGTGTCCTTATAAAAGGAAGGCAGGAGATCAGACACACAGAGAAGGAGACATGGAGACAGAGCAGAGGGTCTGAAGAAGCAGGGGCAGACTCTCCCCCAGAGCCTCCAGAAGGAATGGGCCCTGACAAAACCTTGATTTCAACCCAGTGAGACCTATCAGGCATCTGGCCTCCAGAACGGAGAGTGAATTTGTTAGTTTAAGCCACCAACTTTGCAGTGCTTTGCTACAGAGTGACAGGAAACAAGTCTACACACCCGCCTCCCGCCTCCACAGTGAGTCCTCAGGGTAGCCCCAGCCCGGCCCAGGCTCCCCGCGGCCCACACACACAGTAACTGAGGAGGTGAACGGCCAGGCAAGAAGAAAAAGGCATGAACAAAGTGTTCAAAGCACAAGGCAAGGAACTGTCACTGTTTGACAGGCTGGGTCACATGGAAACACCCCTACAAACTCCCTTCTCAACTACACCTGTCCTTCCTTTATTCTAAGTGTCATCCTGAAGCCACACTGTCTAAAAGAGCCCAAACTCAGAGAGCAAAGTGGGGAGCAGGTAGAAGACAGCTGCAGACTACCATGTCCGTCGGAGGCGCCAGGGCCATGGTGACCTGACAAGCTCCCAAGCGTGCTGCTCGCCTGCTCACCCGCACAGAAGCGGAGGAGGTGTGATTTTTAAGAGGGCATTCAGCATTTTCATCTACCTCACCCACTTGCCCTGGTTTCTGCACAGGCTGTTGGAGGCAGGCCCATTCAGCCCCCTCCCAGAGCCTGTCCTTCCCAGCGGGCTCACTAGCTCCCTGCAGTAAAGGTCTAGAGACTGGTTTGCTCAGGGTCACGTAGAACCCTCTGAGAAAAGAAAAGGCAGGGAAGGGGAGAAGGTATATATGTACACCTAATATATATTTTTAAATTCGGCAGGGGGAGTACCAAAGAGATTAGCCATGGCTTAACTGAAAGCTTATAAAATGATGATGAAGATGGTGGTGATGATGATGGTGGTGGTGGTGGTGGTGGTGATGGTGACGATGGTGGCGGTGATGGTGGTGGTGACGGTGGTGATGGCGGTGGTGATGATGGTGGTGGTGATGGTGGTGATGGTGGTGGCAGTGATGGTGACAATGATGGTGATGGTGGTGATGGTGATGGTGGTGATGGTGGTGATATGAAGGGGATGGTGATAGTGGTGAAGATGTTGGATTTGATGGTGGTGATGGTGATGATAGATAATGCATTTATGGAGCACCCCCCGTGCCTGGCATTGTGCTAGATCCTTTATAAGCATTATCCCCTTCAATTCTCAGAACGACTCTATGAGGTAAATAATATTCTCATCCTCAATTTCTTAAGAGGAAAATGAGAATCAAAGAGGCTACATAATGGGCTTGTAAGTGGTGAATCCAGGACTTTAACAGAGGTGATCTAACCTTGGGTCCCTGCTTGAACTTCCAAGTCACAGCTCCTGCCAAACTCACTGAGCAAGGGTGGGACAGAAACCCAGGGGCTGGCTGGGGTGGCAGAGGGAAGGTAGAAGTGTCCTGGGTTGTGTGGCAATCTTCTACTGATCTGGATGGATGGCCCCTCCACACCCTTCCCCTACAGAGTGGCCATGCCAGGCAGAGGATGAGTAGGACAGTCATGGAGGTGCTGTGATCTGGAACCTCTGGAAGGCTTTCCAGGCAGGCCTGGACCTGAGCTTGTCTACCCGATCCAAGAGATTTCAGGCACCTGAATGGTCTCTAAAGATCCTGCCTGCTGAGCCACCCCCACCAGGAAGTGACCTAGGATCTCAGCAGCTTAGGGCTACATGGCTACATCCTGCAGCTGAAACAAACTGAAAAGCAATGCCAAATAGGGTTTCTCACGTGGAAAATCTGGTTGGAGATTTTGGCAGAGCTCCGGAAATCCCAGGCAATAATGGTGCGGTCAGCAGAGTCCCGGCTCGAAGCATCTGTGCTGCTCAGAAACTCAGAGCCTTCCTGGAGGAAGAGGATGTCCAAGGTCTGCTGGATGGTCGCCTTGTAGCTTCTCACCACCTGCAAGAGTGGGCACCTATCATGCTTCAGGAGTACAGGGCAGGCACCCACAGGGAGGGCCAAGAGCCCAGCCAGCAGGTGGATCCAGTGAGAACAGTGCTGGGCTGCTAGGAGATACAGCCTTGCCTGATGGCCCCTCCCCACAGGCAGTCCTCCCTGTCGCGTGCCCACCCCACGTCTACAGACACATGACCACCATCCATTAGCCACCCAGGGAGGCGTGATGATCTCTCCAATCACACCAGTCCTCTAGACAGCAGCTGGTGCCTGATAAAAGCGAGCTTTGGGAAGGGCCCATTGCCCAAGGGCACCAAAAGGGCATCAATGATGCCCACTGATACCAGGCCATATATTGTGAGAGGCTCTTGCTTCTAAAGACGTCACATAATTCACAGCTCACAAAACCCCAGCCTATTCTCTCTGGAATAGTAACTGTACTGCAGAAAGCCAGAGTCCTTGGAGACCATAAAGGCAGAACCACAATACACAGATTAGCTTTAAAGACACTTTTACTTATTAGCATCATGGCCAATATTTCATAGCTGCCTGTCTTGTAAACCAATGTGATTAACTATCAAGCAGTTCTTTTTTCTCCAGAGGATTTTATCACATTCACCTTCCATTCTAAAGCAACTGGTTTAGGTTGGGGGAGGGTCCCAGTATCGGGACTAACAAGTATCTCCACTTAACAAACTCACTGACAGCATGCTTTAGACTGCAATATTCAACAAGAGGCCAATACAAGGCGGCCTCAGGCCTTCCGGCTGGTCCTGGCTGGCCTGTTTACCAGCTCCCAGGGCGCCACCATGTGGCCACAGCATAAACACAGTTCTCTGGTCCCTCACCTGCTGACTGGGGAAAAAGAAGTCTTGACAAATTTTTTTTAAAAAACTGGAGTTCACAACCTCTAAAATTTTGCAGATATATTTTCTATCATCCTCTTTCAAATGTATATAAGTCAAATTCACATTACACGCAGCACTCTATAAAGTCAATTTAGGCTGTTTTGAGACCCATTCTCCAGATGAGGAACACTGAGGCTCAGAGATGTAGGCATTTACCCAAAGTCCCACCACCAGGGTGGTGGCCTTCTCCCCATCTCTGCTGCTTCCCTGGGGCCCACAACCCAGTCTCCTACTGGCCACTCCCTACCTCCATAAATATGGAGACAATTTCCTGGGGGAGGATAGAGGCAAATGACTGTTCTTCTCTGAGCCTCTTCAGAAGCAGCCCCTAGCCAAGTTGATTTCAGGGTGAGCCCCCTGAAGCCTGAAGAGTAGTCCAGAGGCAGAAAAGAGAGGGCAGCCCTGCAGGCCTCTGAATACAGGGCAGAAAGCCAGCCTGTGGCTGCTCCCCAGCCCTGAGCCTCACAGATTGTGGACAGGGGAGGACGTCTCTCTGTGCCCCCAGCCAGAGGGGCCCAGTGGGGGTGCTGGTGGCCAAATGCTCCACCTGCCCAGTCTGAGGCTGGGGCCTGGGGCGGTGGGGGGTGGGGGGGCATGGCGCGGCGCTGCATGCCTTCACAGTCTCCAATATGAGCTCCCTTGAGTTTGCACAACAGTCCAGCTCACAACAGTGCCACCCCAAGGCTGTGTTTGGAATCCACCTTGGTGGGGAGGGGAGGGGCGGGAGCAATGCCCATAATCATGGCTCTGGAGCAGTCTCTCTGCCGGCTCCTCCCATCCCAGCGCCATTCCAGTCACCCCTCACTTCAGCCACCCCAGGCTTCCATTGGCCCAGGCCACACTGGGCCTCGACGCCTTTCTTCCCCTTTTCCCAAAGCCCTCTCCGTCACCACCGTTCAGGTGAGGGACAGGAAACCCAGAGATGGCCAGGGTAGCAACTACCAAGAGAAGAGATGTCTGGCCCGACTCACGCCCCTGGCTGCGGCTGATGCACTGAGCAGCTTGCCCTCCCTGGTGGAGGGGGGGAGGCACGGGGTAGCCCCCAGAGCAACAGGAGCTCACACAGAATGGCCACTGGTGGGCTCACACACGCGCCGGGCACTTCCCGGCTCCCTGGCAGCGAGGACCGGGAGCTTTTGGGCACAGGTTCCGGCCTACATGCCACAGACCCCTCTCCAGTCACAGCACCTTGATCCCCACAGGGGCTTGGGAAATGCACTGACCCAGGAAAGGAGACAGGAAGAAGAGGGCCCCCCTTGCTGCTTCTGAGTGCCAGGTAAATGGCAGCCACTGGGCAGGGGTTCCACATAAATGGTCTCATGGGGACAGCCCAGAGGTAGCTTTTCCCAGAGGGTGCGTGAAGGCCCAGAGAGGAGCACGGTGCCAGGGGCCCTCGGCCTGTCCGTGACAGAACTACCCACGAGCCCGACACACCTGCCTCCCAAGGCAAACTTTCCAGGAGAATGAAAACCGTTGTTCTGTACGTTCCTGAGAACGGATGGAAACGGCCCAATTCATTAGGGCGCCATAAAATTGAATGGCCGGGAGACAAGCTGTGTTATGGGCGATCCCTGCCAATGACATGCTGTAAGTGGAAAGCTGACCTTTGAAGTGATCGCCGCCAAACGTGATTTACTCGCCTTCACAACTGCTCCTGCCCTGGGAAAGAGCAGAGGTGCCATTTGTGTGTCTAGCTGGTGGGTTTTATGGCAACCTTAATTACAACGACAGCTGGTGTGTCCCATCCCAGGGGCATGGGATGGTGCTGCGCGGGCCTAACTAGCTGGATCCAGAAGGGAGCCCTCCTCAGACTCTTCTGGCAGGAAGCAGATACTTGGCTGAAGGCTCTGGCTTTGGGGAAAGTGGGAGACGTAATCCACACCACGACATACTCAGGTATGAAAATCACTCAACATCCCTGAAATCTGACAACTGCTCGGCCCTCCGGACAAACGTGGGAAACTCTGGGCTGACTCTGATTCATCCTTCCTTGCATCCCTGCCACTTCCAAAGGGCGCGGGGTTGGGGCGCAGGCTGGGCTCCGTTCCTGGCCCAGCTGCTGACATACTGTGTGCCTGGGGGAGTCCCTTCCTTCTCCAGGCCTGGCCTTTTGGTCATCACCACAAAGGGCTTGGACTGACAACAAGCAAACCTCTGCCTCTGGGCGCTGCTGGACCCCAGACAGGAGGACTAGGGTGCCCTAGCCCCCTGACCCCACCCCACCACTCCTCTGCACCCAAGCCTGAGGAAAGGCAAGGGGAGACACTGCTCTGGGTCCCATGGGACCCCATGCTCCCTCAGTCACCTGCCTACCCCACAGGACCGTGAGTTCCTGGGGACTGGCATCTGTCACATCTCCAGGTCGCCCTTGGGCAGCACTGAGTCTGCACAGTGCAGGCATTACTAAGGTGTGTTGAACCGATGGCTGGATAAGTGAATGAGTGGATACACAAATGGATCAGTGAACAAAAGGACAGCTTGAAAAGCAGGGACTTTGAGGTCTCTAGCTCCCAGCAACATCCTGGCACTTGGGGCTAAGCCAGCACTTGGGGAGCCATCATCCCTGCCCTGTTAGACACCCTGGGGGATGACACTCAGTCACAGGGTCCTCCTGTGGTCCTGGACATGGAGACAAAGGAAACCTGACTCTCAAGGAACTCTGAGGCCACGGTGGGGGTGGGAGGCAGAAGCAGAGCGCCTCATTCAATGTCACATCATCGCTGGCCCTGGGGAGGCTGGTGGAGGCCTCCCTCCCCCGTGGGAGGGCCCAAGCTCTCAGGCAGACACCCTGGGGGCCTGTTGCTAAACTTCTGGGTCCCGGGCAAACCACACCTCTCTGCTTCAGCCTCCACACCTGTAAGGTGGGGAGAGAAATGGGGCCTACAGCTTGGGAGCAAACAAAGGCAATGTGCCTGGCTAAGTGGCTGACATGAGGCAGATGCTCAGAAACCTTCTCTTCTGGGGCCAGCCAGAGCCAAAGTCCCCAGCTCAGAGCTGTGGGTCCTTGGACAAGTTCCTTCTCCCCAGAGTTCAATTCTTTCTCCCTGTAAATAAACATTGGGGTCTCTTCAAATGCTAAGATATCAGGAATCTATGCATAAAAGCAAGCTGGAGAAGGGAGCAAAGGGCCTGTTTCTATAGTTTAAATTCCCACAAGTAGCCAATCACAGAACACACCAAAAGTGCTCTGTCGATAAATTCAAAATGGGTCAGAAACTTATGTTAAAAAAAAAAAAATAGAAAAGAGGACCTGATTGAGTTTTTCTACAACCTGGAGCTGGGGGAACCTTTCCTAGCCATGGCTCTGAGGCCAGAAGCAATGAGAAGAAAAATGGGTTAACCTCGCTACATGAAAATACTAATAATTTTAAAAACCATTGCACAGCACCCAAAAAAAGTAAGTAAAAATGACAAATGGGAGAAATATTTGCAACTTACATTAGAGGCAAAGGTTACTATCCTTAATACATAGTTTCTCAAAACAGGTGAGAAAGACCCAGCACCTGTACAAAAAAATGCTAGAAAAGTGAACAGAGAGTTCACATAAAAGGAAATGTAACTGGTCCTTTCATTTGCTCATAACAAGAGAAATGCAAATTTAAATTACACAGAGGTACCATTTCTTACCTATCAAATTAGCAAAATCCCAGTCTGACAACACACTCCATTAGGTGGCTGTGGGGCTTTAGCTACCTGTACACACTGCTGACAGAAACACAAAACCATACAATCCCTGTGGAGAGAACTGGGGCAACATCGAGCAAACTAACACATGCCTTGTTTCTCAGCAATCTGCACGACCCCGCAAAGCACCCTGTAGGAGCGATCCCAAAGGCACACTGGCAAAACCCCAGAAAGATGTAAGTACAACACCACTGAAAGCAGCAATGCTTGTAAAAATAAAAAACTGGAAATAACCCAAATGTACATCCAGAAAGGACCATTGAATAAACCTTAGTACATCCACATTCCAGAAGGTGATGCAGCTGCGAAGAGTGGGGCCTGCCCTCCCGCCCTGCTACAGGGCGGCCTCCAAGACATACTGTCCAGTGAGAAAAGCCCCAGGTGGCAGAGAAACAGTGTACAAGGTGAGTG